TTTGGTAGATTGGCTTATGGGGTGATTTTGAAGGCGTAATCAAGTTAATCTTCTTTAAGTGTTATCTTCCCTCCAAAACTGTCATATTAAATTGATATTAAAACACTTAAAATTTACACCTCAGGAGTTCTTACCTGTTGGGATCCTTCGGGAAATGGTGGAAGACCAGGTGCGGGGTGTTCCACTGGTAGTTGTTGCAGTTAATTGCACTACACTGTTTTCTTTTACTTTTTTCCTCCTCTCTCCTTGACATTTTGCATATTGTCTGGGCGCAACAGTCTGAGCTCAACAGTCCAAAATGGCGGTAGCGCCCCTAGTGGCTGTTGGCAGAAATTCAATGGAGCTTCGCTTCTTGGTATCCATGCTCTTTGTCTCAGCCGTCTCTTGAATAGCCTTGACAGTCGGCAATGACGGGAACGCCCACAAACGTCACATCCGGTTAGAGCCGAGGGGAAAACAAACCAGTCCCTGCCTTTAGCCACAATGCCGAAGAGTTGCTGTGTGCCCTTTTGCACCACAAATAAACAAAAAAAAATCACCAATTAAAGTTTTACATTTTACCAAATAATAAAACGGAACCACAAAGGAGGACAAAATGGCTTCAAGCTACCAGAAGAGAGCTTTTAGCTTTGCACAGAAACAGGCAATAGAAATGTCCTTCAGAGGGCTATATTTTATTTTATGCTTGGAGTACATTTCAGAGCCAGCACTTTTTTTTCTTTGTTTTTTTACATATACCGTACTCGGTAAAGAACTTTAATCAGTACTTCTACTTTTACCAGGCTTTTGTACACAAGTATCTGTACTTATACTTAGGTACTGAATGTGTACTTTTGTACATGTTGCGAGGAAATCTACACAAATTACAAATGTAGTACAACGTTCACTAGCGTTTAAACAATTAATCTAATATTCCTGATACCCCTGACATAGTCTATGATTGTTTGGAAATGGTTTACATTACATTAAACTTACCTGAAATGAAGTGCTGACTGCAGACATACACAGGTTTTGTTGTTGGGTCCCATAATCTGCCAAACTCATCCTCTCTTCTGATAGATTGAAGCCATTTTGTCCTCCTTTGTGGTTCCATTTTATTATTTGGTCAAATGTTAAACCTTAATTGGTGATATTTTTTGTTTATTTGCGGTGCAAAAGGGCACACAGCAACTCTTCGGCATTGTGGCTAATGGCAGAGACTGGTTTGTTTTCCCCCTCGACTCTAACCGGATGTGACGTTTGTGGGCGTTCCCGTCATTGCTGACTGTATCTATATCTGATGCCTTGATGTAATTTTAAAATGTTTGAAATGAATTTTTTAAACATTTTGTTAATACTTTTTTAATAGGGATGCACCGAATATTCGGTAACCGAATTTATTTGGTTATTGCAAAAAAAACACAGATTCTGTATTCGGTGAAATAAGTGAAAAGCAAGGCCGAATAATAGCGGCGTGTTTTGATAACTCAATCAAACACGACACGCCGCTGCTAAATGAATGAAGCGGAAACACTGGGATGGAATATTGAGAGCTAGTCTAATAGACAAACACAGTGTGTGTCCCATGAACCTATAGACTTTATAAGAATGATGTATGTGACCCATGGCTTTTTTACTTGTACTGGTAATATTAGCATTGACATGTCCACCTAGCAACAGGCATACACTCAGAATTTCTTGAGAAATTTCCTTTTCTCTTCTGTTGTTGATGTTCATATTTTGGGAGTGCCATGGAAGTTTTGCATGCACGAGTTAATGAGCATTCAAACTTGTTTCTTTCAGGCTTGCACAGTACCAACACCGTCCCATTGCCGACTGGAGTACGTCCAACCAGGATGCAGACATGCAGTGTGGGCCAGACATGTTGGAGGAGCTGTTTCCTAACCTAAATCATGTCTTACAAGGTGTGGAGCAAACTCAAATCACACTGGTCTGTAACCAGAGTCTTGATTATTGCCAGTTAGGTTTTCACATGTAAGGAGTTTGCCCTGGTTCTTCGGTGCATAACAGTTATCACAGTAGAAGAAGAACAGAGAATATGGGCAATGTACAGAGATGAATTTTCAATAGATTGGCATTAATGTAACACATTGTGACCGATGCGGCGACTTTACATTAATTTACATGTTTAGTTTCAGAATCAGAAATATTCAGTGCTTTTATGCTTAGAGATGTGTTCTTCTTTTACAGAGACATACGTATGTATCAGCAAAGCTTTTGATAACTATGGGTCAGTTAGTCTTAAATTTAAGTATGCAGTACTACAGTTGTACTGTGACGAAATCAAAACACACCAGCTCCCGCACATTGCTGCTTGAGGAATCACTCTATCTCATTTCTAAAGAAATGCTTACAACTTAATTGCAACATGGTTTTAGTTTAGTGTTTGGTTTTAGTGTTTAATCATTTAGCCAAGGCGATGTCAGATGTTGTTTAATGCCCATCACAAATACCCAGAGACCCAAAGAAATGATCTATGTTTTTGATCAGCAGTCTAAAAACCCACAGATACTTAAGTGGAGATGAAACACTGAACAGTATGATTGTGGTACATTTGAACTTTACCTTAGGCAAGATATGACACTGCAATCAAACTTCAGTATTCGTAACAAATCAACCATATGTGGTACAACTTCACAACTTTCACCAAAATATAGCCTCAATAGTGAAAGACCTTTTGTATATTGTATTGCAAATTATGAAGTTCATTACTCTGTTTTTTTTTTCCAAAATCCGTAAAACTTCTTAAACCTATCTCCTCCCACAGTTTTTGCTAGGGATGCACCGAAATGAAAATTTGTGGCCGAAGCCAAATAAAATTAAATGCTTGGCCGAATACCGAATGCCGTTGTTTAGTTTTTCATTACTTTTTGCAGATGAACGCCCTCCAGGTTAGTGTTGTCACGGTACCAAAACTGGGACCCACGGTACAATACCAATGAAAGCATCACGGTTCTGAGTAGTATCACGATACCACAGCGAAAATGAGGCAGATGTGCCTTTTGTCATTTATAAAAAGATAAATCACTTTTCTATAATACATCAATGATATTTCAATGAAATAAATTACTTATTGACTTATTCATACTTCAAAAACAGCATCAATAAGTGATTAACATAGGGGGGGATCAAAATAAAATAAATAGATAAAATAAAAATCAACCAGCCACCCTCCTCCCCTGACAAGTAAAGAACAGTCCCTTCATAAGTTAAGAAAAGTCCCTAAAGTGTGGTGAGGTTTGTGGACCGTTACCTGCCACAAAGAGAGAAATGTGAATGGCTCATTTCTCTTCTGACACTTCTTCTCTGTCACAAACCTTTGTGCCGCCACAGCTCGGCTGTTCAGGTACTTTTGGGCAGTCATGACAACAATGAAGACTTACTGGACCTGGAGGAGCCGGGCTTCTCGGTCGCCAGTAAGCCGTTATCTTGCGTCGCAGAGCCGTATTTGACAGGAATACATTCCTGTCTGTGTCTGTGACCCCCGTTCAACCTACAACCGGCAGGATTCATCTTTCGTTTCTGCTGCTGGTTGAAATCTGTACTCGCACAGCGTGCTCCTGAATGATTTATTTTTGCTTGCACAAAACTATTTTTAGTCGCAAATGTGAGTGTGGTGACGGATGGAGTAAAACATCGCCACACTGCCGACATTTTACTCCGTCCATCACCGCACGTTGTTTGATTGCGTTATCAGAACACGCTGCTATTATTCGGCCTTGCTTTTCACTTATTCCACCAAATACCGAATGTGTGGGGGTTTTTTGCAATATTCGGCTAAATATATTCGGTTGCTGAATATATTCGGTTACCGAATATTCGGTGCATCCCTAGTTTTTGCTCGATTGAAACCAAACTTGCTACAGAGCATCTTCAGACTGGCTTCCACAAACTGTCCTCACAGATTTTTGATTTATCAAAAATTTAGCCTACAGTGCATCAAAATGTTTGACTATAAACAGTACTGTAAACATATACTTGCTAAGTTCTTGTTAAATACATTTTCAATGTTCATGAAAAGAATTGACAAAATTTTTGAGTCGTGGTAGATGTTTGGCAAATATCAGAATTTTATATCAAGAACTGAATTTTTGACAGCATTTTGAATTCTGCTCTCGTGAACAATTGGAGTCAATGCAAGAATGGTATTTTAAACATCAGTTTTTCAGTTATGGAGTAAATCAATCATTGTTGGAAAAACAAAATAACATCTCCATGCTGTGTAGATGCAATATGTGTATTTTCAGATATTTGTCTTGATAATTGAATTTATGACAGCAGTTTAAAATCTGCCTTGACAGCTGCTGTCACCCTTGTGGCTGGCTTAGTCAATTTGTGAAGCCACAGATGAGTTGTCACTTGCTAATTAGCTTAGTCAGATAGAAGATGCACCTTGGTGTCAGAGGGTTGTGAGTTCAAGCCTTAACTAATGCAAATGTACATTGTAATGGCAACTTTCTTGTTGTCTTCCTATTCTGCCTCTTGTTACTCAGAATTGCCTAAATTTGTCCAGCCCCAACCATTGCTGCGCAGCAGCTATAATTTAACTTGTTTTTAATGAGTGTTGATGTAATAGGGTTTGAGAGTTTTGATGAGATAGAAGAATCATGGACAAAGTAAAAAATTAATTGGCTACTCACTGTATTTGACAGAGAACTGTATTTTGACACAGAAGGAAGTCTGCATGTTTATCATCCACAGAATTAGGTTGCATGCCAACATTTTCAGAACAAAATAAAACATGCTGCAGTGAGAGTCTCTCTCCATGGGATATTTAAAAGTAGCAGGTTCGTGCATTCAGTCCTTCTCAGGCAAGCTCAGGAGTTTAGTGTTGCCAGAGCCCAAAGGAATGACACCAAGTGAGGATTTGAATATATGCAGTTTACATAACCCAGTTGAAATTCATATAAACAAATGCTTGAAGATCCACTTGTTACTTAAAGTGTATGTCATCTAAGAGAGACAATAAAAACTAAAGTAATGGTCAAAATTGTCACATTGAAATTTAAGCTGCGCTGATGGATTCATGTCGTCAACTCATGCGTTGAGTAACATTACAAGTTAACATTCCACCTTAAAAGTTGCCGGCAGTCAGCCCAGTAAATGAAATCACTATTTCTCAGACTCCATCTCCTGCAAGAGGCAGCATAACATCCTTTCATTTTATAGTTACAGTTTACTAATAAAACTCTCCACACTATGAATAGTGGTTACATGAGCCTCAAAACCAGCCACAACTCAGCCCTGAGCAGAGTGACCGTCCTCTATTGATCAATCAACAGACTGCAGTGTTCACAGCTCCACCTTTTAGTACCAGATCTGTGTGCTAGGTACCCCAACCGAGGGGTGAAAAACACCACACCGAACTAAACTGTACCGTACTGCTTGGTGGAAATGGGGCTTAAGACCAAATATAGTGGTAGGACCTGTTCCCATGGAGTCAAAACGTCAGGGGTGAAAGTGAAAAGCTGCCTGAACTTGACTTAAGTTGTAAGATGGCTGTGCCCTGCTGGTGAAACAGGAAAGTCACAATCAGGTTTTCTAGGAAAGCGAGGTGGATATCAAGTTTCATAGCTGTGTCGTATCTTGCAAAAGTTAAAATTCAAACAAACCACTGTCATAATTGTTAAGTGTTTAATCTCTTCTTTAAATTAACAAGAAGAAAGAGACAAACCTGCAAATCCTCACATTTAAGAATCTATGAGTATCAAATGTTTAGGGCTGACCCAAAAAATTTGAAGCTTTGAAGCTGCGTTCGATGGCAAGGGATTCGATTGTAGAAAAAAAATACATTCAAAGCTTGGGCACTTTTTTCCCCCGTTTTTGGGGGGGAGGCCTTGAACGCAACACTAACCCCCACCAGTCCGATACTGACAGCAAGCGCGCTCAGAGCTGGCAGACATGTCCAAGAGGTCATCAGATGTGTGGTTGCACTTTAAAATATGCCCTGACTACAGATGTCACGATTATAGATTTTCTTGGTACGATTATTGTTAGAGAAATAATAATGGTTTTACGATTATCACGATTATTATGCATTCATTAATTTCACACTATAAATGTGTAAAATCTCATGAACACTCCTTATAGATCTTTAAGTTTAATTTATTTCCATGCCAACATAACAAAAATAATATAGCAATCAATCAATAATATGTGGAGCAAGCGATTGAGAACATGGCAGAAAGGCAGCCTTTGGTTGAGAAGAAAGGTAGGACAACTTCAGTCATCTGGAAACATTTTGGCTTCAAGTTGATGGACGTCGAGCAAAAGGATTTTGTTTGCAAAGTTTGTCATGCTGTCGTGTCTGCCCCCAAAGGCAACACGAGCGGTCGGAGATGGCGTTGCATTCAAGGTCCCCCACCCCCCAAAAAAACGGGAGAAAATAAAGGCAGAATATTCAAAAAAAAAAATTCACAATCGAATCCCGTGCCATCGAATGAAGCTTCAAAGCTTCAGATTTTTCAGGTCAGCCCTAGTATTTATTTTTATTTATTGTTTTTATTGCTATTATTATGGTAATGTACTATTATTATTTTTATTTTTTTAACTTGTTTACTTGTTATTAATTTATGTCTGGCTCTTCTTTTAAGTTATATTTAAAGTTGAGTTTTGGTGGAGTTTTGAAATCAATGAATAATCGTGTTTATTAATCGTGATTTCAATATCAGTCAAAATAATCGTGATTATTATTTTTGCCATAATCGTCCAGCCCTAGTAGTAGCCGTACAACTGGGCTTGGTAAGCTTGGAGTGTTTTTAAGTTGATGTAAAAATAAACGACGTGCATTTGTGAAATCCCACACTCGTGTGGACGTGAGTTTCTGCCTGTCGTCTCACTCCAAGAGCTGCACATGCCCAAAACCATTTCAACCTCACGCTGTGTGCACACAAACTGCAAAACTATCCATCAAAAAAGTTTCTGAGACGTGCCTTAGCTTGTCACGTTGCACTGTAAGCCCAACTCGTATCATACCACTACGCCATTAATTGCAAATGACACACTAACTAATTTTTAATTCAATATTACATTAGATAAATTGAGATTGACGTATTTTAACCCAGTTATTGTGCATTTACCTTTACTTGCGCATGTAAAGCCAGGTGGTTGTCCTGCAGGTATTGTATCATGTTGCTCGTGTTTGATCCTTTGGCCGCGACTTTTTTGCGGCATGTTTTACAAACTGGAAAGTAGTAACTAGTAGGCCTAATAGGCATTTTCCAGTTCCACCAGTCTGCTCTGAGTCTGGTGTCAGAGACACTTCTGATGCTCTGAGTTGCGCATCTGTTTGATTGTGCTGCAGTGTGCGCCGAGGGTTTTAATTTAGTGTTCAATCAAAAGTTAAAGACTACTTATCACCGACCATTAGTGTTTTTTCGTTTGTGAATATTTTTATCTTAATTCTAGTGTTGGAATTGAATGCTTTGAATTAATTTCGTTCTGAGCTCTGAAGTTGAATGGATTCGAAGGTCAGCTCTACAAATGTTGTGTGTTTTACTCTGATAAATATTACATGATACATTTCAACTGTGTATGACTCACAGATGAGATATAGTGTGTCATTTGTCCTTTTTTCTCCTGAACTGAACGCAGGAAAGGAAGACATGGATGACCAAGCAGAACACTAGACCACTGTAGATGGACAACACAGACACCTGCAGGACAAAGAAGATGGACGCCAACAAAGTATGGCAGTGGCGCATTATGCATGTTAAGAAATATTCAAGACGTCCAGATCCATTCTATTTCAGCAATAGAATAGGATTGGACTTTAATGTAGCATCCAGCGCACAGAAAAAACTGGACTTACAGTTAGTGACCAATGGTGTCATACTTGAGATTTGTAACTTTGCTAAAATCGTGAACAAGAGTAAAAGGCGTTTTTTGACAAACATTTTGGAGAACAATTTTGATCTAGGCTTTGAAAATGAGCAACAGCGGATTGATTTTTCTGCTCGTATTCACTACAAAGTCAAAGAGCTGATCAGGAAACCTCCTAAAGATAAAAATGAAGTTTTCACTCTGTTTGACACATCATCTAAGGCAGAACGCAACAGCAGCTATGGACTGACCACTGCATCTTCAGAGCACCTGGTGGAGATGGATGAAACTGATCACAGTGAACATGAAGATGAATTCAAGTTTTCACAAGTAACATCCAAGGAATACTTGCAGACAGAAGGCCTCTCAGTAGAGATGGACAAAGCACCTGGTGATGACAGTGAACATGAGGATGAATTCAGGTGTTCACAAGTAACACCCAAAGAACACTTAAAGACAGAACACCTCTCAGCAGAGATGGACAAAGCACCTGGTGATGACAGTGAACATGAGGATGAATTCAGGTATTCACAAGTAACACCCAAAGAACACTTACAGACAGAAGGCCTCTCAGTAGAGATGGACAAAGCACCTGGTGATGACAGTGAACATGAGTATGAATTTAAGTATTCAAAAGCACAGTCAGCAGAAGAATTACAGGAGGATTGTCTTCCCCCTTTGTTTCCTTACTGTGAAGGAATTGGTCTGAACCTTGACGTTGGGTCGAAACAAAGTCTAGATCCAGATTTGCTGACAAATGGAGTAATGTTAGAATTAGTACACTTTACCAGGATACTGACTGCATCCTACAGCCATATTGTTCTTGATGTGTTGGAGCACAATTTTGAACTTGATCTCAAAAGTCAACAAGGGAAAAGTCGACTGTGGTTCAAGATATCTCACCTGCTGAGAAGAAGAAATCGACTCCTCGCCACTGGTACCAAAATCAGCCTAAATTTTAAAGATGAGCAGTTTTCCTTCCAGACAAACCCCTTAAAAAGAACTAAGTTTTCAACACTGTCCAATGTGGAAGCCACACAGTATCACCTCAAGGATGTGATGAAAAGAAGACAGTCTGATTTAAAAAGTAACCAGAAAAAGAGGGCACTGACAAGATCAAGTGAAAGGGAAAACAAAAGAAACAGAAAAGAACAGTTTGAAGACATGGAGACAAACTCACTCTCTCATCACACTGATTTGTGTACCAGTGAAAAAGAGGAGGGAGATCATTGTCACACTTTTCCACTAGGAGAGTCTGATCAAGACTCTGACAAAGTCACAAATCCAGGATACACTGGCAAACTGGATCACTTACAAAGCCCAAAAAGTTGTTCACTGAGCTCTGACATTGCTGGAGACTCAGAACCAAGTTATCTTGGTTTTTGTACGCCTTTATTCACCACCACTGAAATCTCATCCAGTTCACCAACTGTAAACTCAAATGTGAACCCACCATTTGCAAGTCAACCTGATGAAAGAGGGCTTTGTGGAGGGGAAGAGCCAACACAGACTCCAAGAAATGCATCAAATAAACATGACATGGAGCAAGACGAAATGGGAACAGAGATCATTTGGAAGTTACGTGCTAACCGTGTAAAACAAATCCTCTCCTCACCAAAGACAGAAAAAGAGTATTGTCAATTCACCATGTCCAAGAAAGCAGGCCTTGACTTTAATGTTGGATTTGGCCCAAAGAAAAACATCAGTGTTGACTCTTTGTCTAATTCTGTTCTGCTTGAAGTTGCTAAATTTGCCTTGGCAATGAATTCGTCTCAACAGGATTTCATCATGGAGATTCTTGAGTACAACTTTGACTTCGGCCTGCAGAGTCAACACCAGAGGAATCTTTTCACATGTGAAATTATGAAAAGAGTAAGAAAGCTGAGAATTTGTGAAGATGCAGTCAAATTCTCAAAAGAGGTTTTTCAACTGCCTGGACCCATGTCATCAAAAATGAATATGGCTAATCAGAGTGTGGTTGGAGTAACTCCAGAACTCAGCAGTGAATTGAGAATTAAGGAGTGTGCTGTTGTTCTGGTGCGTCTGCCTCATTCACATGCCGAAACTAGACAACATATATCACAGAAGATTGTGGATCTTTATCCCTTCTGCAAGAAAATAGGTCTGAAACTGCATGTGAACAAAAGTCAACCAAACAAAAAACTGAATATCAACAAACTGACCAATGGAGCAATGACTGAAGTGATGAACTTTGCAGAAAAGTTGTGTGGAACATTTGAGCAGATTTGTCTTGACATTCTCAGACACAACTTGGATCTTGATTTGCAAAGTGGACAATCTGATCTTGCCAGAGATATTCTTGCACGAATTCCTGCCATAATGGAGCAGAAGAATGTATCAAACTGTGCAAGCCTCGACAGGAAAATAAAAGGCACAGGAACAGATTATTCAACAATGTTGCAACTGGATTGCCAGAACAGCCCAAATTTAGATGCAAGCAATGTTGGTCCTTCCGAGGTTGCTACCATAGACCAATATGTAGACACTTCTGCTGACATTCAACAGCAAGATGAACACAATTTAATGCTGTGGAAATTGCGGGCCAGGTATATTGAGTACATCCTCTCAGTACCTCATGAAGAACATTGCCCATTTTATTCTTACTCCAGATGCAAAGAAATTGGCATTAATTTCAACGTAGGATCTGGAATTAAACAAAATCTTGATCCCAAGTTACTGACCAATGGCATCATGGATGAACTGAACAAGTTTGCCACAGCCTTGCTATCATCCCAAAGGTATTTCATCACAGATATACTGGAGTACAATTTTCATCTTGATTTCAAGAATGAGCTGCATCGCAGTGCATTTGCATATCGAACTTGGTATGCAATTCAAGCAGCACGTAAAAAGTTCAACTTTAGTCGAATGAATATGCTTTTTGAACTCCCTGACCTGAGGTACATACAAGAATCTACCAATTGTTGCCCCAGATGCTATCAAGTCAGAACTGACAAGCTTCATCAGGACGAATCTGACGCTGGTCACATGCATCATCCCCGTCCACATACCATGACTGACACATTCCTTGCTGATGCAAACTCCACAGCACAGAAGCCTGCAAAGGATCTGTCCTCCACTCTCTCAGCAGCAGTGGAAACAATAATTGACAGGTACTCTCGCTGCAAGAAAATTGGTCTGAACCTGTGCGTAGACAAAGACCAACCAAAAGATAAAGTGGACTTGCATTTATTGACAAATGGCATTATAAATGAAGTGTTCAGTTTTACCATAAAACTGTGTGGGACAAAAAATAAGATCATCAATGATGTCCTTGAACACAACTTCAAAATTGGCATGCAGAGGCAAGATATCAATCCTGCAGCGATGTTCCTTACAGTACCGAAGTATAAAAAATCTGGCAGTCAGGCCTGGTTAAGTGAAGTCTATGTAATTCAACAGCATCCACAAAAACAATTTAGACATGCAAGTAAAGGGAAACAGGCAACATCCATGCGGAAAAGTGAATTGAAAGAAACGATCAAAAACAGAAAGCTGGCACTACAAAGCAAGGGGAAAGTAACAGCACCAGAGAGAATGGGAACAGAGAGCTACTACACTTGTCCTCTAGGAGAGTCAGATCTAGACTGGGGTAACATTACAGATTCAGGAGGTGATGAGCAAACACAGACTCTTAGAGATGAGCAAACTGAATGTGACATGGAGCAAGAGGATATGGGAACAGAGACTCTGTGGAAGTTGCGTGCTAACCGTGTAAAACAAATCCTGTCCTCACCGAACAGAGCGTTTGGTGAATACTCCTGGTCCAAGAAAGCAGGCCTTGAGTTCAATGTTGGATTTGGCCCAAAGCAACACATCAGTGTTGACTCTTTAACTAATTCTGTTTTGCTTGAAGTTGCTAAATTTGCCTTAGCAATGAATTCATCTCAACAGGATTTCATCATGGAGATTCTTGAGTACAACTTTGACTTTGGCCTGCAGAGTCAACACCAGAGGGATCTTTTCATATGTGAAATTATGAAAAGAGTAAGAAAACCGAGAAGATGTGAAGATGCAGTCAGATTCTCAAAAGAGTATTTGCAACTTCCTGGTCCCATGTCATCAGTAAATATGGCAAATCAGAGCATGGGCAGTGTCAATCCCGAACTCAGCAGTGAATTGAGAATTGAGGATTGTGATGTTGCCCCTGTGTGTCCTTCGAATGTAAATGCTAAAACCAAAGAACACATTTCACAGACGATTATGGATCTTTATCCCTTCTGCAACAAAATAGGTCTAAAACTACATGTGAACAAAAGACAACCAAACAAAAAACTGGATATCAGCAGACTGAGCAGTAGAGCAATGACTGAAGTGATAAACTTTGCAGAACAGTTATGTGGAACATTTGAGCAGATTTGTCTTGACATTCTCAGACACAACTTGGATCTTGATTTGCAAAGTGGACATTCTGATCTTGCCAGAGATATTCTTGCACGAATTCCTGCCATAATGGAGCAGAAGAATGTATCAAACTGTGCAAGCCTCGACAGGAAAATAAAAGGCACAGGAACAGATTATTCAACAATGTTGCAACTGGATTGCCAGAACAGCCCAAATTTAGATGCAAGCAATGTTGGTCCTTCCGAGGTTGCTACCATAGACCAATATGTAGACACTTCTGCTGACATTCAACAGCAAGATGAACACAATTTAATGCTGTGGAAATTGCGGGCCAGTTATATTGAGTACATCCTCTCAGTACCTCATGAAGAACATTGCCCATTTTATTCTTACTCCAGATGCAAAGAAATTGGCATTGATTTCAATGTAGGATCTGGAGTTAAACAAAATCTTGATCCCAAGTTACTGACCAATGGCATCATGGATGAACTGAACAAGTTTGCCACAGCCTTGCTATCATCCCAAAGGTATTTCATCACAGATATACTGGAGTACAATTTTCATCTTGATTTCAAGAATGAGCTGCATCGCATTGCATTTGCATATCGAACTTTGCATGTAATTCGAGCAGCACGTAGGAATAAAAAATTCACAGCTACTCGATTGAATATGGTTTTTGAACTTCCTGACCTGAGGTACATACAAGAATCTACCAGTTGTTGCCCCAGATGCTATCAAGTCAGAACTGACAAGCTTCATCAGGATGAATCTGATCCTGGTCACATGCATCATCCCCGTCCACATACCCTGACTGACACATTCCTTGCTGATGCAAACTCCACAGCACAGAAGCCTGCAAAGGATCTGTCCTCCACTCTCTCAGCAGCAGTGGAAACAATAATTGACAGGTACTCTCACTGCAAGAAAATTGGTCTGAACCTGTGCGTAGACAAAGACCAACCAAAAGATAAAATGGACTTGCATTTATTGACATACGGCATTATAAATGAAGTGTTCAGTTTTACCGTGAAATTGTGTGGGTCAAAATGCATCATCATCAATGATGTCCTTGAACACAACTTCAAAATTGCGTTGCAGAGGCAAGTTGTCAATCCTGCAGCAATGTTCCTTGCATTGCCGAGGAAGAATGAAAAATCTGGCAATCAGGCCTGGTTAAGTGAAGTCTATGTAATTCAACAGTATCCACAAAAACAATTTAGACATGCAAGTAAAGTGAAACAGGCAACATCCATGCGGAAAAGTGAATTGAAAGAAGCGTTCAAAAACAGAAAGAGAGAGTCAGATCTAGATTTGAACATCACAGATTCAGGGGGTGAAGAGCAAACACAGACTCTTGTGCCAAATGAATGTGATATGGAGCAAGATGAAATGGGAACAGAGAACACCCTGTGGAAGTTGCGTGCTAACCGTATAAAACAAATCCTCTCCTCACCAAACAAACAGTTTGGTAAATTCACCAAGTCCAAGAGAGCAGGCATTAAGTTCAATGTTGGATTTGGCCCAAAGCAACACATCAGTGTTGACTCTTTAACTAATTCTGTTATGCTTGAAGTTGCTAAATTTGCTTTAGCAATGAATTCATCTCAACAGGATTTCATCATGGAGATTCTTGAGTACAACTTTGACTTTGGCCTGCAGAGTCAACACCAGAGGGATCTTTTCACATGTGAAATTATGAAAAGAGTAAGAAAACTGAGAAGTTGCGAAGATGCAGTCAGATTCTCAAAAGAGGTCTTTGAACTTCCTGGTCCCATGCTATCAATAAATATGGCAAATCAGAGCATGGTCAGTGTCAATTCTGAACTCAGCATCGAATCAAGAATGGAAGAATGTGATGTTGCTCCTGTGTGTCCTTCTGATTCACACACTGAAAGCAAAGAACATATATCAGAGATGATTGTGGATCCTTATCCCTTCTGCAAGGAAATTGGTCTGAAGCTACACGTAAACAACCGTAAACAAAACACAAAACTGGATATCAACAAACTGACCAATGGAGCAATGAGTGAAGTGACAAACTTTGCAGAACAATTGTGTGGAACATTTGAGCAGATTTGTCTTGACATTCTCAGACACAATTTTGATTTCGATTTGCAAAGTGGAGATGCCAGAAGTATTGTTGCTGCTGTATGTGAGCAAAAAAATCTATCATCAAAACTTTCAAAACATTTGAAAATAAAGGGCACAAAAGCAACAAACCTAAATCAAGATTGCCAGAATGACCAAACTTTAGATGCAAGTGGTACTGGATATTCCCAGGCTGCAGTAATGGACGACAAGACTGAATACCCAGAAGAGTTAGATTTAAAGCTGTGGAAATTGCGGGCCAATCAAATGCAGCAAATCCTCTCAATACCTCACG